TCAATGTGAGCACGGAAGATTTTCAGTGGCCAAATGGTGGAAAAATACCTCTGTCAAAACCAAAGTGTGGGTTTGATGGTCTGTTATGTGTTACTTCTACACCTTCTACATTTAACACAGCGAAAGAAGATCGTCAAGATGGTGGAAAAATTGGTAAGTTTTGCGCTGAAGGTGGAAAGTATCTTGTTTTTGTAACGTTCTTTTTCTTCAGATATTAAAAATTTCGGAAGCTTTTTAAACACCGTGACTTATTGGTTTGTATGTTCTTTTGTAACTCATGTGAGACAACTTGGTTCTGACAGGCTGAAATTACGCCACCTAGTCATTACAACGTTCACACATGTGCAGAAGTTTGACCGCTCTGTTGAGGTGATCTGCTCTGAACTGGCATCTGAGTAGTTCAGGCCATGTTAGCCATTGAGACTTTGATCCTCCCAATAGCAATGAACCTTTAAGATTTGGTGTCGAGTGTTTGATTAAGTATATTTTTTTCTCCTCAGGAGACAGTTTCAATTTTGAATCTCTTTATTTACGCCATTTGGTGTTCATGAAGAAACTGTCACCATTTGAAATTCGCTGACACTCGAGCTTTCGGTGTGTGAGTAATTCGTCGTATGTTTTATTTTAGGTGCTATTATTGGAGGAGTTTCAGCGTTTGCAGGCATCACTTGTATCATACTCCTCGTCAATGTCATCAGGTAAAGGCATTCTTTTTTTGCTCGCTTCTTCCGTTTTTTTTTTCGTTGGAGTTAAAGGTATCATGAGCGGTTTTAAACGTGAAGCTAAATAGCCGCTTATTGGTTGAGAGCTTCGGTTGATAAGACAGCAGACAATGTTACGTCACACACGTGTGTTTTGACATGAAACCACACTGCTGCATCTCGTTAATTTTATAAGAGTGAAACATCCTAGTATACCTTAAATGCTAGTAAGATCATAACAAGGTTAGGGTACAACCTCTTTTGTTTTCCCATGATGTTAGGAATCCTAAGACAGTGATTTTCCGATATGTTTAAGCAACACTCTCCGGTTGCTTTTTTCATTCCACAGACAATACATGTTAAAAAAAGAGATGGACAGTTTATTGTGGAAAATGAATTACAAAGACATTCGTTGGGTGCAGACGTCTTCCAGCGTTAGTTCTGACATGGCTGAAGTAAGTGTGAAATTAAATCTCCTTGAAACTCGATGCTTCAACCGAGATCTTTTGCAGGCCCTGGATAAATATTATTATTATCAGTATTTTAACTATGCTATTGTAAACTACAGATATCGAGACTAGTTCCGGCCTTGTAAGTCACTTGGCCTACGTGCTGAAGTTTTTTTATTTACTGTTTGCCAAGGGGTGAACTTCACAGCAGATTCAAATTTGTTTACAACTTCGAGTGTTCTAACGGGTAACAATTTTGGAAACATTTATTGGTTTCACTGGATTTATTTTCAGCCAATTATTTTTGTAACAAAACCGTGGACCCATGCGACTCTTGGGCAGAAAGACACGAGATATTTGCTCTAAAATTAAGATTTATGTTAGCTTCAAACTCCCTTTCTCAAATTTATGAGTTTGAAACTGCTTAAACAATGTAAAGCTTGTGCGTTGTTCATTACAGGAAGAAAATTCGCTTTCAATGTCTCGTAGAACAAGCAACCAATATACTTTTACGAACTTTGGATTTTATAAGGTGAGCGAGTGTCTTATGAACTAAAGACGGTAGATGTGTAACGTGAAATGAGTACATAGCTTGGTAACCATACTGAATGATGTTTCTGAGGAGAGGATGATGCTATGTAATTGACAATTGGACCAAAACTAAACAGACAGTCGAAAAATGGCTTGCAAGAAGAATGTTTGAGATAGAAGGATGTATACTCCTTACAAGCATATAACTTAAAAGAAAATCTCATTTTGTTTGTAGGAAAATAAAGTGACCGTGAAGCAGATTGGAACCAAGACGATTGATTTAACAAAATCTATTCTCTTAGAACTGAAACAGGTAACAAAGACAGAGTGCTAAATGAAAATCGCATTACGATCTTTGTGAAAGTCGCAAATCACCATATAATGGATGAGTGTTAAAAAACATGAGATTAGTTTTAGCTTTACTGGGTTTAGCTGGTTTTACCCTTAAACCCTAAGAGTGACTGGCTTCAAACTTCCACGGAAAAAAATTTCCTTTTTCGCCTACAATTTTACCAAATGGTGAATTCAAGGAAAATGTCTTAACGTTCAAATTTCGTTTTCCTATTGCGGAGAACGCTCGGCATATTCGGTATACACTGTAAGCAAACATAGGAAAAAAACACGGCGTTCATAGCTGGTTTGCCAGAGCCTGGAAACACCTCTGGTTAGTCTGTTTTCCCTAAAACTTTTTCAACGATTAACCAACGTGAGTTGTCACGTTATAAGTGTTTTCCTGAACTGTTTTTCCTGTTTTCCATGCTCCTCTCGGTATCACTCTCGACTGAGTCAAATATAAAGGCCATGACAATAGAGGGAGTGATCATCAGTTTAACAATCACGTGACTGTTAAATAAATTCTCTTTGTCATTACCACATGAAATGTAGAGAGAACAGTGTGAAACATATGAATATTTATGTCACGGTGTAAAGGGTTAAGTACCATTCGAGCAAACGAGACTTGTCGTACTCGAACTGTTGAAGCTAAAACGAGAATTGCATGATGGAGGCTGGTGACGATATCGTTTCAAAAGAGGTGTGGAAGAAAAGAAGTGAGGAATGAACGAGTGATAATCAAAATAATGAAAAAACCAACGAACAAACGAGAGAATTAGGTGAATATGTGAGAGTCCGAACCAATGAATCTATGAACTTGAACAATTAAATGAATTCTGATGAACAATTTTGCCTTTTTCAGATGCGCGACTTTCGTCACGAAAATTTCGCCCAGTTTTATGGAGCCACTGTTGATTCACTTTACATCTGCATTGTTTTTGCCTTCCTTCCCAGAACCCTTAAGGTAACAGTCTTGTTCGATAACATGATCCGACAATCAATGAAGAACTTCTTAAGGAAAACGTTTTAGGACTTGAAACCAAGGGCGTGAAACTGTTTTTTCTCAGCAGTATATCACAATTAAAATACGTTAATTCAGTTGAAATCATTTTTAGGATGAAGCTGGTTATGAAACCAAATTAGGTATGACATGCGTGAGGGTATATCTAAAGGGAGAGATTATTTCACGAGAAATGAACAAAATTGTGTTTTTTGGACCAAGTGTTTTCAACGGAGAAAGAAGTGTTGCTTAGGCGGGTCATTGATAGAATCGATGATTTTGTAAGTTATTCGCTTCGAGATAGATTGACCCCCCTTTCTTTTGAATTATCGCATTTTCTTTATATCATGTTATCTTCTTTTTCCAACCATAGGATTTTCTGGCTTGTTCAGACGTGAAGCTGGATAAAACATTTGTTTCGTCTTTAGTCACAGACATTGTTAAGGTGGGTGATCAAAATGCGGATCCTTTGGCAAAATGGCGCGGTTTTTTAGTAGCTAATGATTAAAGATAACAGTAACGGTTGTGTGAATTTCCTTGAACCTTCCCACTGACAGGTCAGGTTTCATGGGATTCTTTGACTTGGCGTCACATGTGGGCTTAGTTTGGTGTTAGTTCGTTTGCTCTTTTCTTCTCTTTATTTAAAAATTTCATCTGAAATTCTGATTCGAACGTGAGCAGTGGAGGGAACGAAAAGCGTTTTCATGGATGTCCTTCTGTTCAGCAGTGTGCTGGGTTCAAGGAACTGATCATGAATAGAGGGCCGATCCTGCATCTAAGGCCGTTGAAAATTTTTCTGAAAAGACTCCTTCGCGTTAAATAATGGAAGAACTTGTGCGATGGTGTAAAAAGCTGTGTGGCAAAGATTGGCATACCCACTTGACGGCGCGTTAGCCAACCTCATGCGAAAAAGTCAAGTCATCCTTACGCTGGGATTCAAAAGCATCATTTTGGTGATTTAAAACGGCGTTTAATGTGAAAGGGGAGAAAAATTGAACAAAATCGAAGGATTGCATATTAGCATGTTGCGAAGTTTGATCCTCACAATAACAACGGTTAATGCTTGGCCCCGATGCTTAGTTGCAGACCAAACTTGGATAGCTTTAGAATTGTGTCATAATTTATAATTTATTTACCTTGACGGTATTTTTTTATGTTTCTTTCGTCAGGGTATGGCCTATCTTCATTCGTCAGATCTCAAGTACCATGGTAACCTAAAATCTTCCAACTGCCTGATAGACAGTCGGTGGACGCTGAAAATTTCTGATTATGGCCTTACTATGTTGAGATCAAAGTGTAATTTAAGTGCAAAGACGAGCAGCGAAGGTAAACTAAACTAAACAATCGCGATTTCAATGTTGAAAAGTAGACCAAACAACCCAAAACAACAACAACAACCACAACAACAAAAGAAATAAAATTACTCCAAACGTTTCATTAACTACTATGATTAACACTTTGACAACGATATCGTAATTTTTTATTCTTATTTATTCCATCTAGATTTACTTTGGACAGCACCGGAGCTACTCCGTAAACGTTTCAGTTTTCCTAACAGTGCTTCTCATAAGAGAAACAGGAAATATGTCAATATTCAGAAGGCCGATGTGTACAGCTTTGCTATTATTCTTCAAGAGTTTCACACCAGGAAAGGACCATTTAGCAATAACAGGAACCTCTGTGCGAAAGGTAGACAGCTAACAAAACATAGAAACTTGTGAAAATCAGGGATCTTAGACCCTGTTTACCAAGCACTCGTGAAGAACGTACCGGTAGACCGTGCGTGAAGAGAACAGACGTGCATGCAAGACAGGCGCATTAGACAGGAAAAATTTAGTTATTTTGGTTTGCGTATCAGAGTTTTTTTTTTTTAATCTCCAAATCTTTGACAGTTACATGTATGACGAGGATGGTAAAAAACCTTTTGTCTGTCTTATTAAGAAATTGTAGGGAGAATCACAGAACCCGAAGTTCCCATATTTCGCCCTACTGTGCTTAATTTTATTGAAGAATTGGACGAACTCAGGGATCTGATGAAAAACTGTTGGGAGGAAGATCCTGATAGCAGACCAGACTTCACCGAGATCAAGAAAAGAATAAACAGGATTCTGGTCAATAAAGGAATGTGAGTGAATCAAAATTAATGAAGGCAGATCGCACTAATAGGAATCGGTATAATATTAATGTTGGGAAAGCTGATAAATTCCATTAAAATGTGTTCACGAAGAATTCATTCCCTTTTTTTGCAGTAAAACTAACATTTTCGACAGCATGATTTACATGATGGAGAACTATGCCAACAATCTTGAGGATATTGTGACTGAAAGAACAAGTCAATTAATAGAGGCAAAGAGAGAAACAGAAGAACTTCTTTACAAAATATTTCCAAGGTATTGTTTAATTTGATTGTTTGTGAGCTTGACGCGCGCAGTCGTCTCCTTCAAATTACCAGTCACCTCGTCGTCTCAACAAAGTGAGGTTCACTTCGTCTCCTACAACGTTGCTTTCACTCAGCACGTTCTATGTCCGTTACTGTCATGCGGACGCCTCAGACAACACGCCTCAGTTCGGAGGACTATCTGTCCATATCCTAACTGGATTTGATTCCGAAGCTTAGACCAAGAGCCCCCCTCACCCCGTCCCCCTTCCCTCTTCACTTATTTCCTCCTGATCGCACTGAGGATGTCATGATGATGTTTTTCTTCCAGACCAGTTGCAGAACAACTCATTAAGGGAAAACAAGTCGAGGCCGAAAACTTTGACGAAGTGTCCATCTATTTCAGTGACATCGTAGGATTTACAAGCCTCTCTTCTGAGAGTTCGCCAATGCAGGTATGCTGACAGCGTTTGATTCACCTGTTTGCGGACAGCGTTTGATTCACCTATTTGCTAACAGCACTTATCAAGATAGGTGACCCTGATACAAAGGTGGATTTTTAGGAGATCAAATCGAGATGCGCGCGCGCATGAAAAACACTTGAAAAATCTGATGCTAAAGGAGCCAGAGAGATGTTACAGCTTGTACTGAGGGTGTCTCCATCAATCTTGTACATAGTGTTCAGTATTATCCGAACTATTAGTTTGTTTTTATATTCCTTATTACTCTTATTATTATTGTTTCACATTTATTCGCCAAAGGCGAATTAAACTTTGGTGAATAATCCCCAAGGGGATTTTTCACAAATACTCCCTAAGCCTCGGGCGAGTAATTGTTTTAACATAGGTGCTTTCGAATTCTGTTGTCACTTGTTATCACCTATTCTTTTAAGCACCGCGCGCGGGGTTATTATGGGGAGACATGACGCAAACCTCGACCAATCAGAGCACGTGCATCTCTATAATCATAGAGGCAATTATGATAAAGTGCTAATTCTCTTTTTTCTTTTTGCTTGACGTAACGGCGACAATACGAAGCCAAAGTGATGCTGATTTCAGCAGCCGGAGAAATTTCGAAATTTACCAATTGCTGTTCGCCACAGACATAATTTTACGTTCCGATGCGGAACTTGAGAGAGAATGATGGAGGGCACTCTACTGACAAATTAATGTAACTTGCCCAATTTCATTTATGGTACTGGAGTTCATCGTTATTCTTTTTCAGGTCGTTACTCTTCTTAATGATCTCTACACATTATTTGATGACATTATAAGCGAATACCGTGTATATAAGGTAAGCTTTGTACTTGATTGAAAATCCGGAAGCATATAGAAACCATTCATGCTAATGTAAAATAGCGCCTGGAAACTTCATCGTACACTTGTAGGCTCTTAATTATTTTATTCGTTGTTTCCTCGATTGAGTTCATTAAAGACCCAAACCAAATATCAGGACGGCCAATCATATTTTCGGAAAATATCGCAACGAGCCAATAAGAAGTCAAGGTAAACACAAACAAACTACCTTTCAGCGCGGGAAAAGGCAAGAGACCGAGTTAGGATTGATTTTAGTATTGCAGCTGATTCGCTACAAGGGTAGCCTGACTGAGTGTTCCTGATTAATCTTATAGTTGACTCAAAATTTAAAGAATTAACTATGTGATTTTGTCCTTTCCTTTTTTTTAGGTTGAGACCATCGGTGACGCTTACATGGTGGTTTCCGGTCTTCCGATAAAAAATGGGCACGATCATGCGGGTGAAATATCCCGGATGGCTTTGCACCTATTGGACTCAGTCAAGGAAGAGTTCGTCGTCCGTCATAAGCCTGGGTACAAACTACAGCTTCGTATTGGTATTCACAGTGGTGAGTGACAAGGATTTCCTTATTCTGTTCATTCTACCTTATATGCGCTATTACATACGCCTATCACTGATTTCTTTTTTTTCTGTTACATTTCAACGACCTAAGTTCTCCATTTTGTAACTTATATCCACTTCATGTCCACAGGTCCTGTTGTTGCTGGAGTGGTTGGAAGCGCTATGCCTCGTTACTGTCTCTTTGGCGACACGGTGAACACTGCATCCAGAATGGAGTCCTATGGAGAAGGTTAAGGCAATAGTAGTAGTATCAGTACCTCTGGTTGCCGCGCGCGAGGGGAAAGACCGGGGTGGGATTGGGGTTAATTAAGAGCTCTTATTCACCCAGCGGGAAAAAAAGGAAAACAAATCTGTGGCGAGATGGGAAACATTGGGGTGGGGTCGCGGTTAACAAAGTGCTCTTACTCACTAAGCGGGAGGGTAAAGTGAAGAAAAAGTCTATGGCGAGAGGGGAAAGGGTTGGGTGGGGTCTGGGTTGACAAAGTGCCCCAACCCATCAAGCGGAAGGATAAAATGAAAAAATCTGTGGTGAGGAGGGAAAGAGTGGGATGGGATGTGAGTTAACAAAGTGACTCTACTCACCAAGTGGGAAGAAAAAATGAGAAAAAATTGTTGCGACCTGGGACACGCGTTTAACCATGGATCATAAAGATCTGGGTTGGAACGTTGTTTTCCTTTTGGTTATTTGGTTTTTCTCCTAATGTTTCCGATTCGTTCTGAAAATATTGGATGGAGATTCACCACGTGGACGTTCTGTTGCCAAAATCCAGTCTGTGTGTGATAAAATTTTGATTTTATATTGAATTTTTTAATGCTCTGGACGTTATAGGTTACTAGCGATAGACCCGCTAGACTGATAGTGTTGTTCCCTTTCTTGTTTAGCCGGAATGATACATATCAGCGAAGCAACAAAGAATATTCTTGAAATTCTTGGAGGATTTACGATCAAGCGCAGAGGAGAAGTACACTTGAAGGTACAAATTTATTCAAATAAAGAAATGATGTATGATCCAAGTAAGCGAGCTGAAATTTAAGTAGATACAGATAAGAAACATGTTTAAACAAATTCAGGCCTCAACGGAATTCGAACCGAATGCCTCTCTGAAACTAGTTAGAGGCTACTACCAACTACGAAGCCGTCAAGATGCACTCTAGAAAGTCTCAATGGGGTTAATTTTTAGCCGTTAAACGGCCGTCAGGCTTAAAAACTGATCAATTTTAACCGTTAGTCGTAAAAAAAGTTAACCGTAACATTTTGTCTTTCAATGAAAAATGAAGGAAGTTAGCTGTAAAATCGTTAGCCGTAGAACTGCCAAAATTTTGGCCATCACTCCGTTGAGACCCTCATTCTAGTTTTGCCCGTCCAAGTTGACTTTGCTTTTTGTTGTTTTTCTTGTGAAAGGGAAAAGGAGAGGTCACAACATACTGGTTGATGGAACATCAGCATAGAAGACAGCCAATCTCTCCAAAAAGACCGCGTCCAAAGAGACATTTTTTCAATAGTACCAACGATGGCGGAGGATTGAAACCTTCCTGTATTACGCGCTCGTCGTCGTTACGAAGGTCACTCAAATGTGCGTCTGAAAACCCAATGACAAAAATTCCAATTCAGGTTGTTGTAGGTAACGGTAACAATCGGGAAAAAAGGAAAGAAAGTACGCACTCTATTACAAGTGTGTAAGGAATCTGGGAAGGTATTCGTGTGTCTGCACGTGTGATCAGTGTTGCCCCAACTTTCAAGTCAGAAATTGTTGGTAACTATCCGGTTAAGAGATGTCTTTTTGTCTGTATTTCATGGTGCATACCCAGTTCACTCGAGTGACCTAAGCATGTGGCTTGGAGGAGCCTGAGATCAGCTTTATAATTGAAATACGCCATCAAGAGGTGCTGGTCTGCGCCAAAAGAATTTACGTGATACTGCTACTGATGGTTTCTGAGAATACAGGATTCTGTCAAACGCAACAAACTCTTCAAAACATGACAGGAGGGGCTTTCCCCTTGCGCTCACAAAAGGCATAACAAGGCAACCACGTGTAGTTTAGGACATTACTTTGTTTGATTTTATACAAGTCTCCAAATCTTCTTTAATGGCTGTGAAGCTGGTTACCCTGCCGTTGTGAGAGAGGATTGCGTTACAAGCCGCAATTCACTAGATAAACTTATGCTCACCCACTCTCCAGTGGAAAGAACTGAACATGCGCCACTGGCTTACAAGTCACTGAGCGCAGAGAATCCAACTACTTTTTTTTGTACGTGTTAACCTTGATAAAAATGGTTCCTTTTGGGATTTGTGCATCTCCCGAACGCTCCCGTGTTTCCATTTTCCCAAAAAATCATTACGTTTTCAAAAAAAATTCAAATAAAAAGGATTTTAAATCCATCAGTTTTACTCCGATATATGTAACACAGAAACTGACACAACCTGTAATTTCTCAGGTCTTTACTTTTTTCCCTTCGAGGGACAAGGTTAGTTACAATATCTACATTGTTCCTTTGGTGTAAATATGCAAAATCTTTGATTAAAAAAAAATCTTTGTCCATTTTTGTCTTTCCTTGAATAATGTATTTATTAATTTACGGTAAATCTTATTGTTGTGATTATTTTCTTATTCCAAATTTTGACGGTGTAAACACTATAGGAAACTTTAAATTGAAAAGAAACACAAGTATGAAACACTTTTGGGATTTGACTGTGGCTGGAAAGGTACGTGGCAGTAACGAACTGGGTATTGGGGCGAAAATGGTAGTACAGCTTGGTTTGTCTTGGGTTTACTGTTGGCAAAGCTATCAAGATGGGTTGGGAATTCCGACATAGAGAGAGAGAACACTTAACTATGGGATGATAAACTGGCTGTAACATACCAATTCAACCTTCGGTGGAGCAAATCGACCACGAAAGAATTGAATTAAATTTAATTTCAGCGAAAGTTCTCGGAGGCCATGTTTTGTTCAAAGACCGTCCGTGTACGGTTTATGCAAAGTCACGTTAATATTACGATAAAAATTTTCATGATAAATTTTGGGAAGAAAAGCTTGCTTGAAAGTTCGCCTTGGCTCCTTTTGCAACAAAAAAATAAAAAGCCTTCTAAAAAAACTTTTCTTAGTCGCTATAAACAGATAAAAAGGATTTCTACACTTCCATGAACATTTGTGCTACAAACGCAATAGCACCGGTTAAGTTCATTTCGGTTCATTATTTGATTACACATTAGCAACAATGTCTTAGCATTTACCTGCTCTAATAAAATTTCTAGCTTTTCATCTACAGCGGGACATGCATTATATATTGCATAAATTTCTTTGCGCGTTGTTTCCTCATCATAAGTAATTCTAAATCCTATTTCTACATCCTCAAAAATATAGCTCCGCATTGCATAACTATGACATTCATTTTAAACTGTTGGCCACACAAGATTATTTGAATGATTGAATAACTGTGCAAATGGGAATGATGTACATATCTTTTTGTCGATGGCGATTCTTCTAAATAGGTTTCTGCTTGGAGACTGGAACTCTGTATTTAGCTCGTTGTGACAAGACCTGAGAAAACCACCGAAAGCAAAATAAGGTAATAAACTACATTGGACCCATTCAAAAGCACACTGAGATGTGCGTCACGACAAAAATTCTTCCAGCATGTAAGCGTATAATAGAATATCTCTTATAGTCAGCGACAATTCCGTCAGATGTAATCTCCAAGCCTTGTACTTCGTGTATGATGACTCAATAGTTCGATGTCAAACAGACGAGAAATCGTCCGATTTATCGTTTGCGTCAACTACGTGTTTTCCTTTCGCTACTTGAGGTTCAGGCTGCATGGATTTCATAGTTCTCCTGAGAGAAGACGTCCGAGATACCCTGCAGGGAGATGGCGGGGCTTCCAATATTCCAAGTAAGCCGGAGGGTTGGTCTGAGTGTTCTTTAACTCTCTTAAATGAACGCCGACTAAAGCGTAGTGTCTTTTTCGCGAAATCCACAAGCCAATAACTTTTTACCTTTCCTTTGCCCTAAGGGAAGGAGAATTAACCTTTTAACCCATGAGAATGATTAGCATCTAATTTCTCCCAATAGTGTAACCCCTGCATCACACAATAAGGTCACGAGAATGAAGAAAATGATCACCAACGAAATATTCTCTTGATTGATAAACAAATTCTCCTTGTCAGCAACTTGGGAAATGTATAGAGAACAGTATGGAGAATATCCATACTGATATTTGGGTGTAAAGGGTTAAGTGAATAGATAAATACATTTTGGTGTAGAATGTACGAACAAGGAGGTTATACTTACTAAGACACTTTGCAAGAGTAGCGTTTAAGGTTTAAATGGGGAAGAGCATAGGGTGGTTTGGTAAACAACACACAAACGTACGAGTGAGGACTGAGTGTCAAAATCAATTTTAACAGTAACATCACGAATTCGAGATTTCTGTAGTTGATGAAGAGGAGAATTTGACATGTTTAATAATCAAGAGCTTCTTACGTTGGTGATCATTTCCTATATTTTCGTTACCTTGATGTTCGATTTAGATATGATCTCTCCGGGGTCAAGGGAGTATTCAACGTACTATTCACAGGTCGATCCAGCAGTAAATTAACCAAACTTACTTGAACGGAAGATAAAGGCATTTGATATAGATTTGATTTGAATTTAGACAGTTGGAGTATAAGGGACAACGAATATGTTGTCAATTTAATCGTTGAGGGCTGTTAACTTATAGGCAATGCTTGTAATGGTAGGACGCAACCCTAAGGAGACGTCATTCGAAAATCACTTTTAAAAAGTTACAACGGATACCTCACCTTTAAGAACACATCTCCTCTTTCCTCGATTATAAAACCTCCTAATTTTTCAAGGAGTTTCTTTGTGGCCTCACTTATGTGAATTTTTAAACCTGAAGATATGAATAAAGCAGGGAAAATGAAATAATCAATTTAAGAATCCCAAAAACAGAAAAGTGGTTACAACAAAAAGTGAAAAATACTCTTAATTAGATTATGCTGCGGATCCATCAAATCAACCGATTTTCAGAGATGAAGTGGGTACGTTTTCAAAGAAACTGTGGTACTGCGTCGGTGGAAGAGTATAACAGGATAATTTGCTTTTATCAATTGAGTTGATTATGTAAATTTGCCACTGTAAAGAGTTGAAAAGCTGACGTTTTAGAAACTCTTTACGGTGACCAATTTACATTATCAACTCAGTTGATTAAAAACAAGTTATCAAATTTCCAGAGATGACCAAATAAAGTAAACACAGAAAGATTCTTAATTTATCACAACCTCGGGACTGAAGAAAAAAAGCTTTGTTGCCTATTCGTAAGCAGTTACAAACAAGTCTCGAAAATAATAGGCAAAAAACTCCACCAAACGGTTTCACTATAGATAACTTTAGCCAAACAGTGACTGAATGAGCAAGATGAGAGATAAAAAAAAAAGAAAATGAGGTATCACATTTTGGCAAGCATATTTAATCCCAACCTTCTCCAGTTGACTCCATCCTAGACGCAGTGTTCACTGTATCACCAAATAAACAGTAACGAGGCATAGTACTTCCCACTACTCCTGCAACAACTGGACCTAAAGAGGAAAATATCGTTAAGTCATGGCGGTGTGTACAATTATATATGGAGTATGTATCGTCGGTTGTCTCACGTATAGTATGGTCGTTTGGACCAAAATATGCAAGGAAACTAGAACGGATATAATAACATTTAAGTGCAAAAAAGAAGTTTTAAACTCACCACTATGTATACCAACACGCAGTTCAATTTTATGATCAGGCCTATGAGGCACCACAAAGTCCTGCTTCACTCCAGCGATCAGATGAAGAGCCATGCCTGCAATTTCAGCAGCATGACTATCGCCATTTCTGATTGGTAGACCTGATACAACCATGTACGCGTCACCAATTGTCTCCACCTGAGAAAACGAGAAAAGAAAGATTGAATTTATAGGGCCTAGGGGTTAAACTGAGTGATCAATTAAACATCGGTTAATTGATGCATCGATTGCAAAACGTTATAAGCAAATATGGGAAAAGGAGAATTTACCTTATAAACATCAAACTCCCTTATGATGTCATCGAACAATGTATACAGGGCATTCAAAAACGTCACAACCTATCAAGAGGTAAAAAAGAACATATGGAACTTGTACAAGACGTCAGTTGATGAGTGATAGAAGGAAAGTCAATTAATCAACAGATGACTTGTTCGTGTGTAAGCACGTCTGTAATCAGACGATCAGTCAGTGAGTCAGTCCCTTGGTCAGCCAGCCAGCCTACTACTCATTCAGTCATGTACTCTGCCAGTCGGTCAGTCAACCCACTGGTCAGCCAGGCAGCAAGTCATTCAGTCAGCTAGCCAACCAGCCAGACAACCTGCCGGCCAATCAGTCAGCCAGGCAATACTCTGTCAGTCAGTCTGTTGTTTAGTAAATCAGTTAGTTAAGCTAGATATTCACTAGCGACACCAATACACTTGTCCTATCTCTCTGCGCCCAGCAAATATTCTTAATATTGGCAAACTTGAGCTTATGACTGTGCTTGCATCCAAGCTGTTTTTACTTGCGTTAACGTTCATGTGTGCATTCGGTGTGGACATCATCTGTAGTCAACGATGAAAGGCAAGTTTGAGCAATTCGAGTTACGCACAATAAACAGTTCAGCGGGCTTCAAAGCAACTCCTCCAGTTGCACGAGAAGATGTACACTTAGGTGTCTGGGAATGTTTTGTATTTACCTGCATTGGTGTACTGTCTGATGAAAGCTGTGTAAATCCCACAATATCGCTAAAGTAGATCGACACTTCATGAAAACTCTCCGCTTCCACTGCTTTGCCCCTTTTAAGCTGCTCAGCCACGGGACTAGGAGAGAAAACATGCGAAATAACGTGTTACTATCAACCGTCGAGTCAAGCTGTAGCTCGCGACGTTTCAACAACTGCACTGCATCAGACAAGCAATGTAATGTCCTTGGTTTGAAAGAGAGCATCAAAGGGAGACTGACTCTATGTATGGGTCACAGTCGCTCTCAGTCCCAATTGTTATTAAATCGATCAATCTCGTGTGTGAAATTCCCAAAAAATACGCAGCCTATGGCTTGCAAAGACATCGACGATGAGAAATAGTGAGTCTAAAAATAGCACGACACGGATTTCGTTTGGAAAACGGCTTTTGTGGAGGATTCACCCTTTTGGCTTTATTCTCTATTTTCAGGTTTTTAGTAGGCAGGAAAATTTAAAAGGAAACTCACCGTGGTAATATTCTGTCCAGCAGGGCGTCTGTCTTTTTCTTTTCCTCCATTAGCTGTACAGTTCTTTCGCTTACAAGATCTTCAAGATTGTCCGCGTATTTCTCCATCATATACACCACATTGTCGAAAATATTTGTTTTCCTAAGGTTCGAAAAGGATCTACCAGGTTAGCACAATCACTAAAAAGAAAATTCGAAGGGAATGGAAAGAGGTATACTTAAATAGGCATGTTTACATGAATCCTAACGCTTTCAGAGTGGTCAACATTTTAAGGTCAACCTTAGCCTCCCTTTCCAAAAAACGAAAGGCTTTGCTATGTAATCGCTACCTATAAAATGCTTAATTCAAACCGAAAAACATAGCCTGAAGTCATGCAAGAAAACTGACGGTACATCGCTTCTTAATCAGTTCTTATAAACCTTGCTTAAAAACATGACATTCATTAAAATTTCTTGGTCCCGCTGGTGCTCCACAGCGATAAAAAAACTTTCTCAAAATGACCCTAAAGGACATGAGATAAATCACTTACATGCCACTGTTACTAACAATTCTGTGCATAGTCTTCCTTATATCATGAAAATCTGGGCGAGCTTCAGGCTTTTCCTCCCAGCATAATTTCATTAATTCTCTGAGCTCTTCCACTCCAGTGATAAGGTTGACGACCGTGGGGCGAAAGGGCGGTATTTCGGCCTCTGTAACTCTCTTCACAATTTCTAGGAATGAAAGTGAATAGAAAGTCACTCTTTTATTGACGTATTGACATGTTATTGATCACTGCCTGACTGTTTGATCAGAGGTCCTACAAGGGTTTGAAAAACTAACACGACTCCAGAAAGATTTGAACGAGAGTTTTGATTTGGTGGTTGTTTTTTTTCACTTGGTAACCTGGCTTACCTAACTGGCTGACATATGATCATGACAGACTAGCTACCTGACTGACTGACTTAAAGACTAACAAACTGACTGACAGATCGATTAACTAACGGACTGAGTGACTAAATATCTGAACAACTGACAGACCTAATGACTGACTGGTTGATCGATCAATTGATTGATTTACACTAATTGACTGACTCGTGATTTTTTATTTTCATCCTTTTAAATTTGCAAAATGTCATTTCAGTAAAAACTTCTTTCCAACTGACAAAGCGTCACTCCTTCGTATAGCTACTGAACTTGTAAGAGTTACTAAGAGAAAGTCTCATGCCTGGCTTGTAAGAATTACCTTAGTTGTCACATGAAGAAATTTCAAACTACTTTTCTCATAACGAATTGTCTCACCCTCTGGTTGCATGTAGTTTGCACTGTAAGGCCCTTCTCGTGTGTGGAATTCTTGCAAGATGATGGCAAAACTGTACACATCTCCTTCCTGTGTTCCATTTACAGGACGACTGCTTAGTCTAAGAATTTCAGGAGCCGTCCATAACAAATCTGAAACACGAGGTAAATGAAATCATTAGTTCATTCGCTGTGTAAATGCAAGGTTTGTGAAGAATTCACTATGGATTAACTCTCAGAAGTGATAAACATGTAACTTCTCCCTATATTATCTTTACATTATAGGGCAAACAGGTCATGAGAATACTCAGCATTATCAGGTAGAAGTTGTTATCTTGATCTAACACTAAATTCTCCTAACTATTTCCTGAGCAAATGTGTATCAGCTGGAAGGGAGAATTAACAATCAGATCTTGAGAGCTAAAGAGTTAACACCGACTGCAAGTTGGCTTTGTATCAAGAACTTAACTTATCCTTACCCTGAGGTTTTTTATCATTATCTTTTTTTCACTTATGAAACTCGAGCGTACCGAGGCGGAAATATTCCAGTTGTCCTCGTTATCATAGCTCATGCGGAACCGGTCATTACTTCTCGCCAGGGTGGGGTAGTAGGCTTTTGATTGTGTCACGATAAATTTAC